ACACACACACCCTTTTCTGACTGAGAGGATTTTGACAGAGACAATATAATGCCCCAGAAGGAGCAACGGATTTGGAGTCAAGCAAACTAGGTTCAAATCACCTCCGTAACGGGCTCATTTTGTATGAATCTAGGAAAATTGCTAATGCATCTGAGCCTCCTTTTCTTCATTGCAAGATAGGAAAGTATCAGACTGTAGTTTACCGAGTGGTGACGATTAAGGATCTCATTACATTAAATGAGATCTTGTTTGAAAATCCACATTTGCCAGTGGCCCAAATTATCATACTGTGAACCAATTAGATGCCTAATGGATAAAAGGTTTTCATCTTGAATTGGTGAGTACAGGGTTTGATAGGGAAGCCATACAACTCCACTGAGAAAATGTTAGCCGTTTTGTTTGGTCGTCGCATTTTCTGGGTACATTTGTTGAAATCCATTATTTTCATAATTGCCTGCTGAATTTTATCTCAACGACATCTCACACACTGCCATGAAGTCAATGCTGACTCATAGCAAGCAACCCTATAGAACAGAGTAGAACTTCCCTGTGGGCTATAATGTGTCCAAAATTACTATGTAGCTTTTTTTACAAAAGAGATAATATAGACAATTTTTAATAAAAAAAGAGCCTCATACATGCATGCATGCACACATACATACAAGGGGATTTCAAAAAGTTCCTGGAAAAGTAGCATTATAAGATAATGGAATTTTTTCCATGAACTTTTTGAAGTCCCCTCACTTATAGCAGCAATGAAGCAATAATTTTGAAAAACCCAGAAAATTTTCCTGTTTGGAAATTTTGTCAATATTATGGACAAAATAGTAATGATAAAGTCCTAGTCTACATGAACTCATTATAATAATGAACATTCATTGATTATGTTCTATATGCTAGGTGCAGTAGAAGTCACTGGAGCCCCGGAAGTTAAATGGCATGGCCAGCACCCAAGTCTCATTGGCCAAGTTCTCATCACTGTAAAACCAAAACTAAACCAAGCTCACTGCCATCACATCAATGCTGACTCATAGGCACCCCGCTGTGTGTTTCCAAGACTTTAATTGCTTACGGGAGTAGAAAGCCCAGTCTTTCCCCCAAGGAACTTCAGGTGGTTTTGAACTGCCTACCATGCGGATTGCAGCCCAGTACATAACCATTATACCACCAGGACTCTTTACCTTCTATATGATAGCGCTTCAAAAAGCTCATGAAGAAATTCCATTGTCTTTTCATTCCATTCTTCCAAGCCCCTGTGTATGTAATTTTGGTTTTGACTCGTGCTTCTTTTCTCCCTAGAGTATCAATTCCATGAAAAGGAGTGGGGGCAAGCTGCTCCATTCTCAATATTCCCCCCACCTCGCCCACGGCCTGGCCCATAAGGAGCTCCATAAATATCTGTCTGATGAATGAACAAAACTCACCAATATTCACCTCCAGGTGTCTACTTGCTGTCTCCCGCACAGCATTCAAACTCGTGGACGTTTATGTAAAACGTATATAAAATCTCCATACGTGGTTCGGAAAGTTTTCTAAGCCAGGTGTTAAGTAAAAACTACTTTTAAAAGTGAAATAATTACATCTTACTCATGAATAATGGTCGGCAAAAACAAAAACAAGCGTTGTGGCGGCTCCCTCCTTCCTGGGGCCACCGTCACGGGCGTCCATTTAGCCATCACCACAGGTATACTTGAGCAAAGCTTATGCAACAGTTCCAGAACATTGAAGAACTGCAAGTCCTTTTTTTTTTTCTCTTCCCAAGTGCGGGTCTGATAGTCTTTTCTCATTACTGGCTTATTGAAAAATAGCAGTGCCTCCGTCCAAAGCTTTCTCTTTTATATTTAACTTATTTAGTTTGCTAATTAGTTTCCAGCCTCTCCTGATTTAAATATTCTCTTTGGGATGGCAGTCTCTCTTGAGCAAACAGTCTTTCTTATTTCTACCCCCTCCTACTGCTCCTCTGGAAGTTGCTATTTGGGGACATGGGGAGAGCGTTGATGACATGTCCTAGTGGCAGAAGAGGGCCTGGGGTCCACATGGGGTTCTTGGGGTTGTTGCAGGTAGCCACCAAGGAGCTGGTCTTCTCTCTGAACCTGCAACCACAGACATACTAGCGATTCCTCTGGCTTTGGGGTCATTGCCCCTGAAATCCGTAGTCTCAACCACCCGCTCTGCCACTGAATTGATTACAACTCCTAGCGACCCTACGCACTGTGAAGTCTTTGGCTCTAGTCTCTGCCCTCCCAGAAGCCCTTAGGGCACATCCCTGCACGCTGGGGGGGATGAGAGGAGGCGGCAGCATTGCTTCCAGCCACAGGCTGCCATCTCTCTGGCCATCACTGCTGAGGGACTGCCCCTCACCGTTCAAAGAGGACTTTAAAGATTCCAGGGCCAGGCTGCACCTTCAAAGTGAGCTAGACCATGTTTCTTTTCAGTGCCTCCAGGTCGTATTTGACAGATAGTTCTTCGTTCAAGGCCTGCCCCCAGAATGCCTCTGGGTCCCACGCATCTTGATAGATGCCAAGCACTCTGGTCTTGAACCCCTTGGCTTTCCTGCCACCTGTCTCACCTCCTTCCTCTAGGTTTCTGGGATGGTTTCCTTGGTCCTTGCTTCTCAACACTGAAAGAATTCACGTGCCAGAAGCGCTTTTCCAAAGCCAAGTAACTTTTTCTTGGAGAAAGGGAAGTTTCGAATGATACAGTGTCAGGGAGTCCAGGCGATCTCTGGAAAGCGTGCAAGGCCACATGGTGGGGGGCTAGGGGAGAGTTCACGGCCACATTAGCTGCTTCAGGGGAGAGGGAAAGATGGCCAGAAAGTGGAGTCCACAGAACCAAAAGAAGAGTCCAGGAACCTAAAAAGGAAGAGAGAGTGCGAGCCCTGAGTGCTCAGCACATGCACAGCAGAGCTCTGGCCTCCGACCTGCAAGAGAGGGACCTGCCCTCAGTTTGTACTATTTACCCCCTCCCTCCCCGCTGGGGGTCGGCCGTGGGGGCGTGGTTGAGGATATTGGCCAATCTTAATGGCTGAATTCAGGTGCACCTGTGACGTGATGTTGTTGCCACCTAGTGTGTGCCCAGGTTGACCTCCCCCTTTGTCTAGGTGACCTTGGTCTGAGCATCCCCATAGGTGTCTAATGGGTGCCTGGTTTCTTTGCCACCCTTTGCTTGTGGCATAGCCATCTAATTTTTGTTTAGTGGAGGCGTTCGGTGGAGAAAACCCCCTGTATCCCTAATCTTCCCACTGAGATAGCAACGTTTGTTCCCACTTCCGGTACCATGCTGAGCTGGGTTTCCTCAATGTAGGTCTTCTCTCTGCCGGAAGGAACAGTCACCACCTCCTCACCTGGCGGAAGAAAACCAAAAACTAGCCTCGCTGCCATCAAGTCAACTCCGAGTCATGGCACTCTGAAGGACAGTCGCACGGCCCCGTGGGTCTCCAAGCCTGGGACTCTTTACGGGAATAGAAAGCCTCATCTTTCTCTCACCCAGCTGGCAGTTTCGAACCGCTGGCTGTGTACTTAGCAGCCCAATGTGCAACCCCTACACCGTGGGAAAAATGCATGTGTGTTGAGGGATGGATAAGCGAGATCTGCTTATGTTCAATTTCCAAAGATAGTGTCTTTGTTGCAAATCGTGATAAGCACTATGAAGGAAACAGAGATAGAGAATGTGACGGTTGGTCTGCTTTGGGTCATGTAAAGGCTTCTGGGAAAGCTTTCTGGGGAAGTGACATTTAAACAGAGGTCTGAAGGATAAAGAGGTACCGGGCACATACGGAAGATAAGAGGGGGCAGAGTGTTCCAGACAGAAGAAATACAAATACATGACCAACAAGGAGCACTCTATGGGATTACTCTTAGCTGGTGTTAGAAAACAAGGAGGTGGGACTTAAACCCCATCATTTAAACTTGAGGATCACTGTGAAGGCAGTACAGGACTGGACATAATGAGTATCAGTCCCCTTCTATTGAGAAGTGCCCATGTCTTCATCCAAAACCTCTGAACTATTCCCACAATGATGTACCCAGGACTGAGTACATATTTGCTGAAGGGAAGTGTGGAACTGAAAAGAACTCAAACCAGAATATCGGCAGAAGGAGTCAAAGTACCTCTTGGTCCAAAACTAGTGCTGGAGGCTGTGGGTAAAGCCAGCGAAGTATATGACTCAGCCCTCCCCACCTCCTCTGTATTCACATTTTGCTAGCTTATAAACAGAAATATAGCTAAACATATAACCCTACGTTAAACAATCTGGCATGTATCTGCTGTGTTTCTTCCAAGCACACCAGAAAGTACTTTAAAAAAAGATTCGTATGTATTGTAAAAATTCTATCCAGACAAGACAGCAAGTTAAAAGAAGCGGATCAAAGTCTAACTACTCAGAGATAATCACTGTAGCATCCTTGTCAACACTGGCCTGTGTGTATACACTTCTGTCTAGACCAGGGGTTCTTAACCTTTCTGGTGC